CTTATTCCACTGAGCCATCTCCCCAGCCCCAACTACACTTCATTCTAATGTAATAAAATTAATGGTGCAGCATGATGCTTGTGCCAGAGAACTAAAGGCTGGCATGAGTATTTATCCACCAGATGTGTCTTTTCTTTTTTTCTTGTTTTTCTTTTTTTCCTAAATGTGTCTTAGATACTTTCTATGTGCCAGTGCATAGGCAACAACAGTAAAACAAAGGAAAGGAGATTTTCTTGATCAAATGTTTTATTAGAGATTTAATCTGTAGCCTGCTTTGAATGGCTGGAATTGCTTTGGATTGTCCACCTTGCCATCAGTCTGGGCTCAGAAAATACAAACTAATATTAAACTAATATTATTATTTTATTCCAAAATAAAATATTGGAAGCCAGATCCCCTAAGTGGATTACAACCCATCACAAACCACATTCAACTACTTTTAATGTATTTGTTGGCTGCCCCATTTTTTTAAAGAACAGTAAATGGGCTGTCTTTGGAGATGGGGAAAAAAGACTTAGCACTTAATCATCAACAGAAAAGCATTCTTTTCATATATTTAGTCATAGTTATACAGATGGCTCATCCAATGCCAGGCCTCCAATGGCAGCAGGCAGAATTCAACTGGACAACCTTCGAAAAAGAAAATCAGGTCCGAAGGCCTGCAGAGGAGGGAGGGAAGCTCAGTTCTCAGATACAGTCCATTTGCTGAGTCCCCCAGTCCTGGGATCTAGCGCCAGCAGAGACAAAGCCCTGCCTCATGAGCGGCATTTCTGGCTGAGCACAGATAGGAATATGGGAGGGAATGAACAAGGCATAGAAAGCATAATAAACAAAGTGCCGAGTCGTGAAGTTGAATGTGCTGGGGGGGTGGGGAGAGAGAGCTGGCTGGGCAGGATCCAGAGCGCTAATTGGGCTGTGATGGCAGCATCGGGCAGGAGGTGGAGCCTCAGCAGAGGCTTAAAGGCCTCTGAGGCTGAGCCCTCTGAGCCCTGGGGCCTGGGGACAGGAGCATGCTTGGAAGGACCCAGGGGTCATGCAGGCCAAGGAACAGTGGAGGACAGAGGAGCTGGGGTCAGCAAGCGACATGGTGAGGAAAGTAAGGTGCAGAGAGGTAAGGTCACTTGTCTAGAATCACAAAACTAATAAAAGCAGGGCTCTGATTTGAACCCAGGTTCAGATGGACCTCACAGCTCACATGTTTCAGCACTGTGCTATTCTTTAGTTACTTGGTCTTAAGATGCAGGTATTTTAATGCAATACAGGCAGTCTGCAACTTTAGCACCATCCCCAGCATAAATGGTTCTGGCTGCCTTGGTTGCTGCCTGTCTGTTTGGACCTAACTTCTTTCTGCATGAGCCTTTCCCAGCAGCCTTTCTCATGAGGTCTCTAATTCTATTAAGGCAGCTTCCTCCAGACATCTGCCCATTGCTAGTGGACATTCATTGTTCCTGGGGCAGTCAGGGTCCCTGTTAGCTACTGAAGATTGTACCCATTTTTTTGCCCCTCAAGGTATTCAGTCTTAATGCAAGGAAAGTGGGGCAGTTGCTATTGTGTGTCATATCATATAGGGCATGTCTGAGAGGTTAACTGCAATTTGTGACACCCCCAAATTCAGCATGCACCAGGCAAAGTCAAGGATCAATGACCAGAACAAGCTGAACATGATGGTGCACACCTGTAATCCCAGCATTTGGAAGGCTGAGGCAGAAGGACTGCCATAAGTTTAAGACCAGCCTGGGTTACTTCATAGGGAGAGCCTGTCTCAAAGAACAAAAACAGGGGCCAGTGAGATCAGTGGTCTAAAGCACCTGCTTAGGCAAGCACAGGGACCACAGTTTGATCCCTGGCACCACATGCTACATCAGCCTCACCTCCATAGTGGGCTGTGCCAGCCACCAAAAAAAAAAACTAAGAGAATGTGCTAGTGTACTTTTCCAATAACTGGTTGATCGTTTTTCTTTCTTCATTCAGAGATGAGCATCAGGATTTTAAGGATGAACAAAGGCGTCTAAAGAAGCTTCGTGGAAAGGGAAAGCCAAGGAAAGGAGAAGGAAAAAGAGCAGCGAAAAAGAAATAGTGTTAGCCATCAAGACAGAAAATTTCTGCCTCAGTGACTAAGAAGAAAGTATATTTACTGTCTTTCCACATGTTAGAGTCTAGTTTTCCTCAGTAAAGGTTATTTGAAACAGAATCATCTGTGTGGAAATCTAATCCAGTTAAGTTGGGCCTGGCTTCTTGAATACACTGTAATTCCAGAAAATTATTTCATCCTTGGTTTTGTAATCTGAGGTTTACCTAATTCTCTAATGGGGTAAATGTATATATTGTTTGGAGTGGGTATGGGATACTGGGGGAGTGGACAGGCAGCCTCATTAAATGACTGCCCAGCTGTTTCCTCATTCTTTGCTTTCTTCCTCACTTATTACTCACCCCTTAGTCTTTCATCTCTTTGGCCATTCAGCCACTGTCTCCACCACCAAGCTCACAAACGTCAGATGCATCTCCGCCTACTCCTTTATGCATACCTAAGGGGGATAAAAGTGTTGTGGGAGAGGGACTATTAAACACTTACTGTAGACAAGTTACCAAGCCACTGGTAATACAGGGTTATCAAGAGAAACACTGCCTTTCTGTCTTGTGGGAGACACGAGTATGGTTATGTACAATTTATTAAATGCTACAAAAGAGAAGGCCAGGGTCCCATGAGTGTGCATGAATGGATGGATCACATCACTGGAGGGCTCATTTGGGAGCCCTCCTTAAATGATATTTCAGCTAAGCCAAGGATAAATAACAGTCAGAAGAAAAATGGTAGAAAAAGTTTTTGAAGCAGGTACAAAACAGTTTTCAAAGCCCTAACGCAAGAAGTTGTCCAATTAAAAAATGGACCACTAACAACTTTATGGTCAGTCACAAGGAAATAGACATAGTCCAAACCATGAAGGACTTTTCAAGTTTCATGAAAACGCTTGGACATAGCCAGCCTAACCAGAAGTTAGAGTGTGTGTGATAGTTCTGTTACCATGATTTGCATACATTTGGATAGCTGGCTGCCGATTTCATCATCTTCTAGTGCTGAGTTTCCAAAGATACTGTAAGAGCCTCTGATTTGTTTTGTTTTGGGTCTTTTTTCCTGAGACAGGGTTTGTGTGGTTCAGGCCAGCCTTGACCTCTGTGTGGCCCACAGTGGCCTTGAACTCACAGTGACCCTCCTGCCCCGGCAGTCCTCCTGAGTGCTGGAATTACCTGTGTGCCACCATACCTGGCTAAGTTGGTTTTTTTTAAGAGTTATTTTGAGTCTTTAACATCATCCAATAAAGACTTTAAAAATTGTAAAAACATACAAATTTAGCATCTCAACCATCTTTAAGTGAACAGTACAATAGCGTTAACTATATGTTTATTGTGCTAAAGTACTTTCTAACTCGACCTTTCTCAGACAAAGCAAAGTGCATAGGCATCAGTACATACTGCAGCTACTCCAGCTACAGTAGTTTATTCCTGAAATTCTGAATGACTCCTGGGTGAGTAAGAATCCCAGTACATATGTTTAGACAAATGTTAATGTTATTTTTAAAGATGCATAATCCAGATGGCATGGCTAGGGCTTATAGCCTGTTCAAAAAAAGAAGAATATCTAAAATTGGGTGATTTGTGTCTGATAAAAGTAAAGACTGAGAATCCATTCATTTAAAGCTTTTTACTGAGCACCTGCCATATGCCTGACACATAGTAGTAGCAGAGGATACAGAAGTAAATTCCTAAGATTGAATGAGTAACGTGGAGAGCGTGTGTGTGTGTGTGTGTGTGTGTGTGTGTGTACATACTGACACAATCTCTTTGTGTAGGAAAGTGTAGGTGCGTGATTATTCTTGGCCAACGCAGCTGAGCCAGGTACGGTTGGATGTTGGCCTGGGGAAGATCTCAGCCTAAAAGCTAAATGACTTGTCAAGTGTGTGCTGTACAACTTAAGAAGGGCTGGGTGCAGGAGAAGGATGGAATCAGCGTGGTGTTTGGGAGAGTAGCCACATTAGATACTAATAGCAAGCATGGTCGGTGGTTAGCTGATAGAACTTCAGCAAAACTCAGGTACTTAGTTTGCAAAGTGCCTTAGCTATGGTTGACAAGGAAGTTTGTAGATAAGCCAGCAGTGGATTGGTATACCAGAGCTGAGGCTGAAAATCAGACTCAAGCTGAAATGTATTTGCCTGTAAACTATACCCTCAA